GGGGCATGAAATTATTTTTATAAACCAAAGGGGGGCCCATCAGAAAAGGTTTGGGAACCACTGGTCTATAAAACCAGAGAGAAATCTGCAGCTGAAACTTTACTGGTTTGTTTAATAAGCTGAAATATAATAAAACCATCTTACCTGAGTGCTCTGGTAAAGACGCATTGCCTTAAAAAGAGGTTCTGTGGGAGAATCTGAAAAGTTTCCCTCAGGAACAAATGAGCTGTGGCGCGACGAGCTGCAGCTACTGAGGCTGATCAGAACAGGTGTGCCTCAGCGCCCTGAGCCAAATCTCTTTAAGTGTCTTACACGACCCTTTGTTCTGTCTTTGTTACCTTCAGGGGAGAAACCTCTGTTGTCTCTGAGCAGCATGTGCAGAGATTAGGAGAATGGCATGGAACAATTAGGACAACACAAAACCCTTGATACCAGTTTCTGTACCAATGTGATATTATTGAAATRTGTAGATTACTTGCAATAAAATTAATTTCTGCAGAGCTGCAAGTTTCTGAACTTACAAAACAGGTGAATTTAAATCTGGTATGCCATCAGCAGCCACTCAAGCAAATACAATCCTCTTTATTCAACAATTTCTGTATCCACCAGGAACAACCACACACACACTTTGAACCACAGGGTCCTTGACTTCCGTTCATGTTTCATTCGTTTCTTACTCTGATCTTTAACCTAAACCTACCCGCCCCCCCCACCCCCACCAAAAAACAAACAAACAAAAAAACACCATTTGAATGTATAATGTATGGCGCCTGGGCTTTGGACTCCATAAGGGGCAACGGGTCCTCAGAAGGAAGTACAGACCCTTCCAAAGGTATTGGAACAGCAAGTCAAATCCCCTTGTTTTAGTCATAGATATTTAGGTTTAAGATCAAAAGGTGAGCACGAAACAAGAGTTCAGAATGTCAGCTTTTCTTTCCTTGTGTTTACATGTGGATGTGTTCAACAACTCACAACACACCTCCCTTTGTCTGAACCCACCCATTTTTCAAGTGAGCAAAATTATTGGAACACATAACTGACAGGTGTTTTATGTGTTGCCTTTCAGGTTGATTATTCAAAAATTAAGTAGTTCTGCATGACTAGTTTACTTTTTGGCCTGGGTTTAAACCTAGAAGTTTTTATTGTAAAAGAGGATAAATCAACATGAAGACCAGAGAGTTGTCTATGGGAGAAAAACGAGTCCTTTCGAAGCTGAGAAAAGAAGGAAAATCAATTAGAGCCATTGGACAAAGATTGGTCATTGAGAACCTCCACAGTTCAGTAGTCACAATCCACTATTGGAAGACTCAGAGAGCTGAAATATTGAGACCATACCCAAAAATGCAAACCACTCATCAGCAATAAGAATCAGAATGCCAGATTGAAATTTGCAAAGTACAAAGATGAGCCACAAAAGTTCTGGAAGACAATGTTATGGACTGATGAGACCAAGATTAATATCTACCACAGTGATGGAAAGGCCAAAGTGTGGAGAAAGAAAGGAACTGCTTATGATCTGAAGCACACGTCATGGCTTGGACATGCATGGCTGCTTCTGGAACAGAGTCTGATCCTGTGACCTTTGTGCTATGAAGCAATTGACCAGACCAGCTGCCCTGTTATAATGTATAATGTAGCACAGATATTGTATTAAAGTTAATACAAAAAACACATTCATTATTTACTTGATTACATAATTATTTAGTCACTCATCAAACTATATGTTCATTTTTAAGCTTATGTTTAACAGAATAACCTTGAGCGCATTAAGACTTTCCTCCACTAGGTGGCGAAAAACGTGAGCTGGACCACAACAAACATAAAACGTAGAAGAAGAGTCTCAGTCAGGGAAGCGGAAATGATTGACTTCTTCGTTAACAGGAGCAGAATGTATTACAGTTTATCGCTTCATTAAAGATTATTATGACTTGTTAGTTATTGGGAACAAACACTCATATAGCATCATCAAACCACCAGTCTGCAAGTATGACGAATGGTACGTGTGCTGCTTTATTTGTGAAGTTAGCGGCGGAAGTTGGGGTAGGAGAGCTAGTGGAGGCTAACTGAGCTGTAGACGTGGCCCCGGTGTTGATTTCATTCCGTGTTTAAAAAAAGAAAAGAATTATGCACTCTTTTTAAACGCTACCTGTTCATTAACAGCCATGGATATAGTTTTAATCTTGACACGTTTATATAAAGTTGTATAATGTATTATTTCAGTCGTACAAACGAGACGATGCTAACTAGCTATGAAACTCACCAGGACAACTGTGTTTGAACAAAACAAGTAAAATAAACTCAAAGTGTTTAAGATTAAAACTTAGAATAATCRTTGTTTCAAAGCAGTCGATTTTCTTGTGCCTAACCTCATAAATAACCTTATACACTGAGAAGTAGCAGAGTCAACAGCATAAGTTGTTTATGTTGGTTAAAGGAAAAGTCTTACTCAGTTAAAACTCCATTATATTAACATATTTGTATTACTGTGTTCATATACTAACACAGTAATAATCTTAACTTAAAATGCTGACAAGTTATGGAAATTGAGCATATTTTATCATTTTGATAATAGTTAAGCTTTTGAAACAAAAATAGAGCATACATTTGTATTTAAAGTTAGGGTGTTGTTGCTGTCTTTAGTTGTATAAATTCCTTAGATTATTTAATATGTTCATGCGAGAATATTTGTATTTTATTTCATTTTTAAATTCAACATCAGAGAAACACTATTATCTTCTGTAGTACTAAGTAAGGGTAGATTGACGAGGTATGTAAACTCGTGCTTATATTAAACTGTTGGGTGGGTAAAGAAGTACACAGCTGTATTGCACTCAGGCCGTATTATGAAACTGTTTTTGTCCTCTTCTGTAGTGTACTCTTTCGATGGGATCCTGGTGTTTGGGCTACTGTTCATTTGCACTTGTGCGTACCTTAAAAAGGTGCCTCGGCTCAATGGCTGGCTGCTCTCTGAGAAGAAAGGGGTGTGGGGCGTCTTCTACAAAGGTAAGTAAAAAGTTACGCAAATACTGTACCAGGCTCGGTTCATCATATGCATGTGTTTCATAATAATGGTACAAGTTAGCTGAATGAACTCTGTGGACTCTTCTGAGTGTTTGGATTTTAAATGTTGAATTAAATTGGTGGTATTGAATGTAGCTGCATCACTACTGACACAAGAAATAACCTGAATTGCAAGACTGCAAATCACTATTGAACAGCTGTCACTTTGTATTGAAAAATACTGCCATACCACAGATATGATGGCACGTTATGACCACTGTATTGCAATGCGGCTGACACAAAACCACGGGCCATCAGATYATGAGTGAGTGCGGTCAGCTATTTCAAAACTGACCAATAAATAAATGCCTTGATTGGGACATGCCATTTAACTTATTACATCTATCTATCTATCCATATCTTTACCCATTTCTTCCTTTCTGGGTTACGGGAACACTGGTGCACTGTTGAATTACAAAAAATAAAAATAAATTCTATTAGTACCTTAAGCACCTATTTGATAAGATTTGTAAAGTGAAAAACTTGATAAAAATGCTTGACACTGTTAAATGGTGCATACTTCAAGCTATGACTGATGCAACATCAGTCGTAGCTTTCCTTCTTAGCAAAACCAACACAGAAAATGATTTCCAAATACATATGTTAATCTGTTGCAGATTTATTAGCCCATTCAGGCCTCAGTACACTGTATTATTCTGTCTTCTCTTTTTATGCTTTTATATTTTTGTATCTAACCTGCAGCTTTCTTCTCTTGTCCTATCTGTTATCCCCAGCTGCAATAATTGGGACAAGGCTACACATTGCTGTGGCCATTTCCTGCTTGGCCATGGCATTCTATGTTGTCTTCTTGAAATGATAGTCAGCCTGGACTGGAAAGGACTGGAAGGCTACAGGTTGGGGATGGACTCATTCCTGTGGTCATATGTTAATCCTTGCTGGAGGGGATACTGCTCAGTACAGATGAAACCCCCAGAGGTTGTGTGGATCCTTATAAAAGCCAAGCCATTGCTGCCCCCTTCTGATGACTAGGTACACAACTCTTTCCTGGATGAAACGTGTGCACTACAAACAAAGGGCAGCCCTTGTGACTATTCTCTGTACAGAGAAGGGCCTTGCTGGTTCACATCATCGTGGTGTTGGGTAATACTGTTCACTGTCTTCATCCACACCAGTGATCATTTTTACTGAAGGAAGCTGAAGATTGAAGGGCAAAGTGTGCATTAAACATTTGACCTGTTTAAATTAGCTTAGTTGTATATATGTAGGGGGGGAAGATTTGATATCTCAGCTATGCTGTTGTTTCTCTGTATGTTTTCTGTCTTTGGTGGAGGGGAAGATAAACAAAACTAATATATACAAATGTCCGTGTCTACACTATATTTAGCTTTTTTAAATCCTGTATCTTTTCTCAATATGCCAGATGATCATATCCTGAATGTTTCCTTTGGTTTGAAATACACATTTTGCACAGGCATAGGTTGCATACATAATTTTTGTCATCTAAATGTAATCTGAGAAAAAAAAGTTTTTGTTGTTACAAACTGGGCTACATATTTGGGCAACAGAGGTCTACCAGAACTGCAAAATGTCACAAAACATTACAAATTAAATCAAATTTGGAGTGTCATATTTGTCTGAGGATGATGCCAAATAGAAATGACGCTTGAACCGTTTTAATAATTTGCTGTTTTTCTGACTTAACATTATAATCCTGCTTTGTACTGCTAAACAAATCTAAATTGTTTTAAATGGATTTAATACGATTTTGAGTAAAATGTTAAATACACAGCTTCTGGTTTTGGTCTTAATAAAACAAATGGCCTGAATTCCAGTGCTTGTAAAACATTGCCACCCATGACTAAAGATTTTTATTTTGTTATATAGTAAGCAAATTACAAAATAACACACACACCTAAACAAATTTAGACAGTTTTGTGTCATCATGTGTCAAACCATGTTAGCAGTTTTTAAGATTTGTAACAATGACACAATTAAAATGTTTTTCTTCATGGCTTTGYCTTGTTTCTTTAAAAATATTGTTTTTAGCCTTTTATTTATTATTATTAATATTTTTTTTCAAAATATACTTTACGCTTAGCCCTTCAAAAACTATGCTTGTCAAGTACAGTAGCTATCTGTGGAAATGGCTTGTTTACCTTCAGCTGCTTTTAGCTTTTAAGTCACTGTTCTGCTACTGCTAGTTTTAGATAGCCTTTCACTATCTTTAGTGTTCAGCTATCATTTTGCTACTTTAAAGTTTTAGTTAGCTTTTTATTACTTTTAGTATTTAGTTAGCAACTTTTAGTTTTTAGCTAACATTTGACTACATATTGTGTTCTGCTGCTTTTAGTTTTAGCATTTTTAAAATTTTGTTTCCTTTTACTCAGGCAGGTAATCTCATTGAGACATGTCTAATTTACAAGAGAGACCAGTGACACAAACATGACAGTTAAAGATCATCATGTAACATTTAAAGGAAAGCAGACTTAAGCACATGAACAAAAGTAGGTTTGAAATTATGATTTTTCTGTATTTTATTTTAGATTTGTTTAAAATGTCCTAGTGGGATACAACTGCATAGTTTCAGTTCTTTTAACTTTACAGCTTAGTTTCAGCAGWTTTCATCAGTCAGCATACACTTTCTGAAGTTCTATCTAGTCCAAGAGATATACCATGTTTATCTGCATAAAATGTACCTGCAGTTTTGATGGTACCCCATTAAACTACATCTCTTCCAAGTACAGCGGGTAAAATAAGTATTGAACACGTCAACATTTTTCTCAGTAAATATATTACTAGAGGTGCTAATG